TCCAGCTCATCGAATGATGTTCCCAAACTAACGACTGTCCTCCGGTGCTCTGATTTCACTGGCGACATTTTCTAAGTAAGTACACGAGCAAGGAATCACCCTTCTATATAGTCTGCGAGGATTTTGTGCGGGAAGTGTAGCTAATTTACTTCTTCCCTTTTTCTCTTCAGGGTCGACCTCCCAAGCCCTTAAGGAAGTCAGCGGCGAATTGAACTTGCAAACCACCCAGAAGTTTGATTGCGATGCTCTCAAGTCGCGAGTTGGCTCTGTCGGAGAATTTGTCTGCAAAGAACAAGAAGAGAACCCTCAAACTGGAACCACCACCACCTCTGGACAAAAACCCAAGCCATCCAACGCTGGTGCTCTCTCACCACCCTCCGGCATCGCCATGCTGGTTCTTATTGGTGGTCTCCTTACCTTCGCTCTGTAAAAAGATGCTTGCGTGACACGGATGGCGTTTTTCTCTTCCCTCTATTTGTCTTCCTCCTTTACCACATTCCCCCTCCCTTTTTTTCTCACTCTGGTAACTCGCAGCTATTTTTTATGGTAATATTTAACTCCTTGTTTTTTCTTTTTTTTTCTTTTTTTTTTTGTGGTGTGTGTGTGTGTGTGTGTGTGTGTGTGTGCACCCAAACACTTTCCTTTTCCTCTTTCCCTCTTACTTGTTTGTAATCTTCATTCTGAAGAGGAAATGAAACATATCCGCACTGTGACACTTGGAAGCATGAGGAAGATGCATTGTGGTTGTAGGAGCAAGGGATGATAGTTGAGACTTGTTGGGGACCATTTCAATCAAGAGACAAGAACGTACATAGACCTCTTTTGTTGATGTAAATGCTCTGAGAACGGGGTTTGCCCGCTCCTATTTCTTAATTTTTCTCCTCTCGTAGCTCGTTCAATTGTTCGCTCCCTTTTCCCGGATCACCACTGTTTCTGTGATGGCGGGCTTCCAGATAATTAATGTCCCCGCGCCGTTACCGGGTGTGGAAGTCTTTGAGGTGATGGAAGGCAGAAGAACATCACAAAACCGAACTTTCAGCAGAAGTCCCCGCTACCTGAGCTGATGTAGTGTTTCACTTTAATTTACAGGCCCGTAAAAGGCTAGAACATACCCACCCCACTCAAGGAGAAACTGGTTTTTTTTTTTTTTTTTGGTTTTTCGTGTGATGGGATCTTCTTAGCTTTTCAGAATAGGATCAGTATCAGGATCCAGGCCAATATCCAGAAATTCCACGGGTTTCTCTTGGGTTTCTGTTCGTCTGCAATTGCATGGCCGCCATCATCGGCGATTGTGATATATAATATAACTATTTATAAAACATCATAGTGCTCGAGGGCAACATACCACCTACATAGTAGAAGAAAAGAAAGACTAAGTTAACCCGGAGATAAGATGCGTAAGATGCCTAAGACCATCCTTGGGGGAGAGCTGAAAGATGGATTTGTTTGGGGGTATTCAACAGGCAAAGCAATCCCCTTACAAGACCGATTGTTTTCTATATAAAAAGGCCGTCGACGACAACACCTTATCTCTTCTCTTCTCTCCAACTGTCTCTTCTCTCTCTCTCACAAGTCATATATAGCTGCTGTGGG